GCTATACGTAACTTATCCACTGAAAAGTAAATTATTCATAATATTTGATGCATAGTTATCCCTTTGTACATTGTCATTCCTTACACACACACACACACACATATATATATATATATATATATATATATATAGAGAGAGAGAGAGAGAGAGAGAGAGAAAGAAAGAAAGTGTGTGTTGTGTGTGTGTGTCTGTATGCTATAGATACTTATTATCCTTCCTCTCTAAAAAAAATATTACATTTTCTTGCAAATCTATTTTTATAGGGTGAAAACTTTGATTCGATAAATATTTCTGTGATTAGTTCAAAGACTATTTTGTTTCATTCTTTTTCCTTAAATAGCAATTGTTTCATCGTTAAATTGGACCAGAAATGAAAAAAAATATATTAACTGATAACAAATGAAATGATTTTAAGCGATAATCACATAGGTATTTTTTGTTTCTATTAAATCGCATTATAGAGCTATTAAACAGATACATTTTAATTCCGGAATAACCTGATGAAATATAATAATGTACCAAATGTTAACAATTTGATTTCCCAGAAAATGTTGAGATGAATAAGATAAGATATGCTAGCATAAAATGTTTCTATTTAAACTGGTCTTTTTTAGGAATTCGGCAATGAAGCAGTGGATATAGGAAAATAGTTCATCGATTAGAATTCAAATATATTGGTTGCGGTTTTGTAAAAAAAATCTAGGTAGAAAAAATGGCTCTTTGTTCAACTTTTTTTTCTTTTCCTCTAATGGTTTTTGAAAAATCATTATTGCTTTTTGTTATGAACTTTAAACGAAAAAAGAGTACCAAATCCATTTTTAAAAGAACCATTAAAATAGGGCTTAAAACATAGATTATTTTTGAAAAAGAAAAGAGATTTTTTTTAAAAAAAAAAATTTCAGGTATAAAGGGATAAATATGAACCTTGCTGCCATTTTCAGATTCAGTGTTTTCAGTAATTATTAGTTTAGTTATTTATTATAAAAAAGTAAATTTGTAAAGCTTATTGGATGAAAAATTGTTGTTATATTCTATTATATTTCTTTTTAGACATATATCTTATACTATGAACGATTTTTTTTTAAATTCTCATGTGGTAAATTAAAATTAAAATCAAAGTTACAATTTTTATCAATATATATCCCATTACGAATCGATCTTCAGTAAGGAAATCAAGACCAATTTCTTTCTAATCTCGTTTCGTTTTAGTAAGGTCTAAGTTGAACGAATGGTTCTGGCCTTTTTTTAAATGTAAAATTTTGTAACTTAGAATTAAGTTTCAAATTTGCATCTTATAACAAAAGAAATATTTCTCAGCTTGAAAAGAGATTATAATTCACTCTTAGTATCTTCTGAATACCAATGTATTAATTAGTCTCTAATTTATTTCTAGAAAATTCTTTGGATCGAAAATATCATCCTAAATGTCACTGATTTAGAAGTACCTGTTTTAATTTCGTGACACATATATAATAGCATTTATTGCTTTCATATTCTGGTAAATAATACAAATAACTTTTTACACAAAAATTTCAAATTGTGATTTATACATTTATACTAATACGTTGAAGGTTGCATACTTAAAAAAAAAAACATAAATTTCTTTTGTAGGGAATTTTTCATTCCTAGAAACATAAAAATATATAAGATTCTAAAATATTACATATAAAAAACACGTTTCATTTCACTTTGCAATAATTATTTTATATATTTATATATTAAATGTATAAAAAACTTTTTATTTCACTCTGTAATAATTATTTAATACATACACATTTATTTACAATATATTTCAATACATTACATATATAAGAACATCTATTATTTTAGTTTGTAATAGTTATACAATACATTTCATATTATATGTTTCTGAGAGTGTAAATGTTTTGTTTAATAATATTTGTTAATTTCTCCCATAATGATTACCATACTTTACTAACATATTACTCTTTCATGTAAAATTTCTTTATTTTCAGCATAAATTTTTACCACGAAACAAATTATTATCTTTTTAAATTTGATTTCAAAACTGTTCCTTTATTTTAAATATTTCAAACAGCAAGATATTATTATATATTTAAACGCAACGCGCATTAGAGAATGTTTTAAAATTAAGAATCAACAAACTTTGCTCTTAATGTGTACCATTTGTCTTCTTTTTAATAAAAACATTTATTTCTATTACATTTTAGAATAACATGACGCTATGCCAAGAGTAGTATCTCAGAGAAATTTAACATTATTCACTACTTTCAAAAGATTATAATTGTTACCTTGCAGTATAACTATCGAAAATATCATCAAAAATTGCATAGCTATAATAATTCTATACAGGAAAAAATTGCATAACAAAATGTATAAAAATACAGCAAAAAATTGCATAGCTATAATAATTCTATACAAGTCACTGCTTGAAGCGACATTTATAGAGTCTCTTATATGTAATTGGTATCATGCTTTCTCAACTAACTGCCTGAATTGTTAGATCACAGCTGCAATAATTATCGTGACCAAACACTTTTTGACATCGATTTCAGATTAATGCAGAGGACAAGAGATCATGAAGGTTTCGCCTAATATTTCTATGGTTATCCTGATAAGATTCTGTCTCTGTTTTCTAACTCTTTCTATTACATTAAGTGGTGTATTCGTTCGAGCACAAATATTTTTATCAATTTTTCATCTACTTCCCAAGAAGCTAAAACATTCAAATATTGCATACAAGTTCAGTTTGGATGACAATACATTATTCATATATTGACTGCCAGTCTCTAGAGATTAGATTGATTGTTAATGTCTTGACATGGAAGTAGACTTTACCAAGATGCCACCATACTTATTATAGGAAATATGATTTAAAAATAAAGATAAAGAAATAAAAAAATAAAAGTAATAAAAGATAATTAAAACAAAATAAATTGATAAATAAAAGTAATAAAAGATAATTAAAACAAAATAAATTGATAAATAAAAGTATTAAAAGATAATTAAAGCAAAATAAATTGATAAATAAAAGTAATAAAAGATAATTAAAATAAAATAAATTGATAAATAAAAGTAATAAAAGATAATTAAAATAAAATAAAGTGATAAATAAAAGTAATAAAAGATATATATGAAATACCTAGGCATTATTTAAGCCTCTTATTAAGGAACTTCTTAACTGAGCGCGAGATCGGCACTACATGACAATATTTTTCAAAAAAAGATGCGTTATGCGCAGGCGCGTTTCAAGAAAAAAGTTAACCGAAATAATAATAAAAACAAACTGTACTAGGCATTATTTTTAAGTAAATCTGTAATATAAACAAGTATACATATTACAATTGAATTTATTATTAAAAAATTACGATGGCAGTATCCTTCCAATCTATCATCGTTAAAATTCATAACAGAAGATTATGTTTTTCAATGAAAAATAAAATATTAATTTCAAAGCCAAGATTATTTATAGCTAGTTTCTAACCATCAGTCCAGCGAGTGAGTGGCACATCTGTGATGGAACCACATCACGCGCTGGCACGGGATTGTCAGTCAATGTGTTCAGTAACAAAACTACAAGAAATTTCTAAGAAAATACTAAATTTATTTTTGAAAATAAGAGCCAAAGAGGTAGAAAATAATATATATAATTTTTAAAAGAAAAAAAATCCATACTTCTACGAGGCAAAAGAGTAAAATAAAAGAGCTAAAGTTTAAAAATAATATTTTTATCCTTCCAGTAAGAAATTAAATAAAAATGTACTGAAAATGGCAATTTAACATCATCATAAATAAAAAAAAGTAGAGGTTTTTCAGTCTAGCTGAAGTGTAGTGTGACTCCAACTGCCTAACTATTTAACTTATGATCGCACGAAACACTTCCGTTTTTAGAGAAAAAAATTTCCACTGGGTTGAGAAATCTTCACTTTTTTGTTTATGGTAGCACTTTTATTTTGTTTGTAGCTGTTCGAATAAAATTATTTTTTTAAATGTCTCATTCTTTTTTTATTCTTTTGCTTAAAAGAAGTTTTGATTTTAAAATTTATTTTTCATGTGCATTTTTCTCACCGTATATATATAACATTTCACGGATGTTATTCCCAAGCAGTTTTTTTTTATTTGCAAGGAACGTAACATTTATTATTAAGCAAGTCATAAAGACAAAGCATAGAAGTAAAAAAGAATTGCAAAATTATATAAATTCAACATTTCAGACATGTTAATACATACAAAAACTTATATCATCCTTTAAATATTAGAATACTTATATTATTAGAAATGTAACATTTGTGATTCATTTTTTTCTGATTTTCAAAAGAATCATCCTTTTAGTATCTAGTCATTTAAAGATATCCAAAAGTTTTCCTACACACACACATACACATTTAAGTAGATGACGCTCAACTACTCATAAAGTACATCCTTCTTTAGAGTTGTGCTGAATACATCATTGTGATTTCTTTTTTATTCAATCATTAGTTATAGCATTGAGAAAGTTTAATGTGATTAAAATGGCAAACGGTAATCTAGTGATCATGGTCAGGGATTTGCAGTCCGCGTCATTTTCGTCCAATTTCGGGTACTTAGCGACTATTATTGTGAAGTTCCTAATCCTGTTGGGCTTTAATCTCCAGTTCTGAAAATGAGCTTGATAACTTCAAGTGCCCAGTGCAATTAAGAGGTTATTAAATAGTCTAAATTTAAAATGATAATTCAAAATTTAAGTGAACTTTAAAATTTAAAGTGTAAACATTAGTTAGCAAAAATTACGAAGATACTTGAGAGAGGTGGGGGAGTTCAGGGTGAAATACCTTCGTCCAATTAGGAGACAATAGCTCTAGCAGGAGTCTGCATGCATTTAAGTTGGCTGAGACAAATTTTGGGTGTCTGCGAGGGACCCATAAAGGGGATTGCGATTGGCTGTAGGTTAAAGTGTGAAATCGAGAGTTCCTTGTGCCGAGTTGGACGGAAAATCCGTGTCAAATCTGCCATCTGGGTTATGGAGGTGGTCGGGGGCGGAGGTCAATCTCCCAAATACTGACCGATCCCAATGATGCTTAACTTCGGTGATCGGACGAGAACCGGTGCTTTCAGTATGGTATGACTGTTGGCGGATACGAGCCTTCCTCCCACAAAAGAGCCACCTTGTATGGGAGCTGATTATCGTTAAATCTATTGAAGTTCTGAGTCTTCTCGTTGGTGTGATGTTGAAATTTGGAGAGGAATTGCCAGCTCAGATGTTATCCTCGTCACTTGACCGAGGTTCACAATTACAAGGTTAGTCCTCAAGCTGTTTCTCATTGAGAATAAAATAAGCAATCATATCACGATGCTATCAGAAATGCTTCAAATATATTGGAAAAATACAAATTTCTGTTAGCATCAGGAATCCAGTTTTGCAAATGAGTACTTAGTTATTTTATAAATTAAAATTACCAAGATTTGTGAAAAACATTTGTTGCATGAATAACGTAATTTAAGAAAATAAAAATTACTTATGAAATATTTATATGAATGTAGATTTCTATTTTAATAACAAAAGTCTCAAACCGTAGCAGATTTAATCCCATTGAACTACTATATAAAAATTCTACGTTGTAAAATGTTGCATCAGTCTCTATCAAACAGAATACAAAATTTACATGATAATATTTTCTCGAAAATAAATTATATTCAAATATATTTATGAGACGTAGTTACTGCAGTAGCACTATAATAGCTGGCACTTTGTATCAAACACTTTGATTGAAATAAGAGGTTTGAAAAACTCCGGTCCCTTAACATTGAATTTTCAATATCTACGTAATGTTAAGATGATCAATTTTAAAAAAAAACATTTTAAGAAAATTTCCTGCTCTTACATTCAATAATTTTTATATGTACTGTTAATACATTATTATTATTCCAATGAAAGATTTTGTCAAAAAATAATTCAAAAAGACTTACGAGTGAAAATGTAGACTAAGGCACATCATTTTCAAACTTTTCTCATGCTCATATGAGTTCTCTTAAGAATAACCAATCAAAACCTTACAAAATATCCACATTAAATAAATAATAATACAGTAAATGCGCACACACAAATTGGTGACTCTGCGACTAGCCAATTTTGTAAATGTGATCCCTTGGACATTTTTGACATAACGGAGATAGATTAAAGGCTGCGTGAAGTGAACCACTTTTGAAAAAAGAGCTTTTAGTATTGAAAAAGTCATGCTTCAATAAAACGAGCAAACTTAACCACTATCAAAATTTATTTAGCCATATAAACAATTTAAATTAATATATTTAGTAATAAAATATTTCGCAAACGGCATAATTGACACAACAGGATAACAGATATATATCTCAATACATTACCACGCATGCGTATAAAACTATTTCTATCCTCTCAGGGATATCGAGTCACATTTTTCTTATACAATAACAGGGAGCCTTAGAAGACGATCGAACCTATCTAAAGTTCACGCAAAGACCCAAATACTGATGCGGTACGAAAATAGTGAATCCTAGACAATTCTATCAGCAAATCCACGCATCAATGGTTCTGTCACTTTAATCGCATTTCTTATCTGCTTTGCCCAATCCAATCGCCTCGTTTTATTTGTGATTCGTGTTAAAAGCCAGCCATGCGGCATCTTTTCTTCTACCGGTTTGTTTTTCACGTGGATGGAGCTGTCAAATGTGACGTTTAAATTTGTTTCCATGGAAGGATATAGATGTTTTCTGAACAGAATTATATGAAACTAAAGGCATAGAAAGATATTGTTCGGTTTCTGTTTGCTTTTTTTTGCTCTTCCATTACCTATGAGTTAAAAGAATAAATACTCTTTTCTTTCTCTTCGTAACTTTGTCGCAGATGTAAACAGTAAAAAAATAACTTTAATTTGTCATATTTATTTCTTTTCATTTAGATTGGTAAGATTTAGATACATTTTCAAAGAGTACAAACTAATTTTGTATAATTTGGCATCAAATCTGATTTTTAGTAAAGAATGAATTTGTGATATGCTGTGAAAATACATTTTATCAAATTTTATTTTGAAAATTCAAGTGGATGCGTTATTCCAAATTTATTTCTATCTCATTTGTTATCTTATTATTAAGAAACATACAAATGTATAACAATTTCTTATAAAGCAATAATATTGGATCGCAAGATTAATCATTACATGCCAGAGAAAAAAAATTCCAAACTTATGAAGTAATTAACAAATAGCTCTAACTCTTAATAAGAGTTTCATGGTGCAATTATATTCTTAAAAACACTTGAAGTAATTAATTTATAATGAATTAATAACTTTTATTAGGGTAAAATCTTACTGTTACAAAAATTTGTATAAAATATTCGGAAATCTTCGTAGTACTGTTATTTCTTTATAATTTATAGGTTTGTTTATTGATAAAATAGAATGAGTTTTGCTGGTTATTGATGATGTGTATAATCAAATGTATTTATGTATTGAATTTAGATTCAATTTTCAATAAAGATACTTTTTCATAGTTTAAATCGAAATAACTAAATTACATAGTTTAACATTATATCTAAGAAGGGTTCTTATATATAATTTTTATATATTCCACAAATATTATATAGTAAGAAATAGCTCTAATTCCTTAATAACAGTTTCATAAAGCAATTGTATTTTTAAAAGACATTTGGAGTAACTAAAGAAATGAATTAATGTAACTTTTATTAGGGTTAAATCTTACTTTTACAAAAATTTGCAAAAAATATTCTGAATTCTCCGCAGTACTGTTATTTCTTTATAATTTACTAGTTTGCAGATAAATTAGAATTCAGTTTGTAGGACATTAATTATATGTATATTCGAATGTAGTTATGTAATGAATTTAGATACAATTTTCACAATAAATGCACTATTTCATAATTTAAATCGAAATAATATACTCAAATATTATATCTCACCAAAATTACTATCCGTAATATGCTAGTGATATAGTAAAAATTAGATGTTACTTATGTCAGTATTTTATGTTATTGTTTAGCATAACTAATTGATTGTTTAATAAATAACGTCGCACTCAAAAACAACACGAAGACAATTGGATGACGGATTTCGCAATTTTGAACTTCGATCAAGTGACGAGGACGTCGCGCATCGGCCGTGTTACACGGCAACCGGGTAAGGACCCTACCCGGCCAGAAAACTACAGACCAATTTCCTTATTGCCAATCCTCAGCAAACTAGCCAAAAAAATAATCCACAATAGACTATCAAAATTTCTACAAGACAATGATATCATCATCCACAAACAACATGGATTCGTCTCGAAATTATCCACATCACACCAACTGCTCAGAGTAGTGGAATTCATCAAGACTGGATTTTACAAAAGTCAAAATACTGGTGCAGTCTTCCTGGATATCCAGAAAGTCTTTGATCGAGTCTGGCATACAGGTTTAATCTTCAAAAATATCAACTACAACACCCCTGCATATCTCGTAAAAATAATAAACTCATATCTACACAATAGAAGCTTTCAAGTCACCGTTAATGAACAACTATCAAATCCAAGAAAAGTTAAAGCTGGAGTCCCGCAAGGAGGAATAATGTTCTTGTTCAATTACTACGTGTTCTTGTTCAATTACTACGTGAACGACATCCCTATACACCAAAATACAAAAATATTCATGTATGCAGATGACACTGTGATACTAGCAAGACACTACTTTTCACCAAAAATAGGCCAAGCACTAAACGAACACCTACAGAAACTAGAAGCATGGTACTCTACTTGGAAAATAGCCCTGAATGTTTCCAAGACAGAGGCCGTCTTCTTCTCCAGAAACTACAGAAAATTAGAAACAGACATTTTTCTGGAAAACAAAAATATACCCTTGTCTCTAGACACCAAATATCTTGGTGTAACGATGGATAAAAAACTCACTTTTAAACAAAACGTTCTACGAATTAAAAAGCAGTATAATTCTGCAGTAAATAATATTTTCCCCTTATTTCGCGTAAATCTGCATTAAGTAGACGTAATAAATTGCTTATCTACACCCTGATACTTAGACCTATGCTAGCCCAGTCGGGTCGCATTGTGCTGACACAACACTAGATTTATTAGAAAAATCCCAAAATTCCACCATTAGAATGATAGTAAGAGCGCACTGGTACATGAGAAACACAGACATCAGATACTCAATTAAACTCCCAACACTTAAAAACTTCATTAAAAATTATCAAAAATTTCTACCAAAAAATTGATACCTCAAGCAATAAAACCATTCAAGAAATAGAAAAGAGCACCCCACTCAGAAACAACCCACAACTACACAGACCACGAGAAATTTTAATTCCTTAATTTCACTTATATTACAAAAACACTGGTAACACAAGCATACCACCCCTACTCACCCACCTATATATACAGAATTAACACACCACACTATCGACCAATCACAGAGCGCCCTCTCACTGCAATCAGACTGAACAAGCAATTAGGAATCGGATAGACTACTGCTGCAATATCCTAAGACTTAACTCATGAATTTCAACCATCTTCTATTTTGGATTAATTTTAACAACACTAGTACTTCAACTAGTGATATTCAAATATTAATAATATATATTCAGCATATTTTTCAAAATTAATTTAATAATGTCTAAAAAGCTATTGCACTGTAATTTTATTTTATTATCTTAATATCTAAATCTTAACTTCTGGGCAAGTGTAAAACCAAAATTCAGTCTCACCTCAAATAATAGCCAATTCACAGGGGATTAAACCCCGAGAGGGTTATATTCCCCGACAAAAATAGTCGGTTTGGTTTGGTTAAACGGCAGGTTTTTAGTGACGTCAGAAATCGAGCCCACAACTCAACAAATCAATGCCAGACAATATCGGGTTAAAAATAATTAAATAACAAAAAAAAAATATATTCAAGAAATTCATTTAAATAAAATGCATATGCTTAAAAATAATTGTAATCATCTTACAAACAACAAAAGAATCTGTAATAAATCTTTTACAACAAACAAAAGCTTAAAAATTTAAATATAAATCAAACAGAAGAACATGACATTAAAGCGACCTCTGGAGAAGTCAAGGACTTAAATTTTGAAACAAAATGAACGCT